TGTGCGCCGGCGCAGGCCCCTCCCCACGGGCCGCCGTTCCCGTCAGGAGCGTGTGCGCCGGCGCAGGCACCTCTCCACCCGCCGCAGTTTCTGTCAGGGAGTATTAATCTGCTCCCAGCCATAGTTCAGACAGGTGGTGGTCTTTTTCAGACTCTCCTGCTGATATAAAGATCCTTTTCGCTCCTCCCTTTCGTGGGATGAGTTGCCTCAGAAAAAAGAAAAAAAAAAAAAAAAAAGCGCTGCAAAGGTGGCATCGAAGGAGAGGAGGGACGAGGTCATGTGGAGGTTGCTGCTCGCCCAGGAGGACAGACTGAATTCACCGTAGACCTCAGGTGAGATGGAAGATACGTGCACTTAACGAGGGGGGGGAAATATTTTAGATGTGGAAGGAGAGACCCATAGCAATGCAAAGGTGGGCTGTTAAGAGTACCTGCGTCATAAGCCAAAAATCCTCCCCCTGGTTGTGGTGGTGTTGGTAGTAAAAGTACAAAATGGACTCGTAGCGGGTCGAAAGTCAGGGCAGGACGAGAAATACAAAATAAAAGCAGGATTTAAGGTTATTTATGTGTTTTAAATGTTTGGGATTGACAGTACTGTAGATCTCTGATTTTTCTTAAATTGTAGTTTCAGGTACTTAAAATTTTCATAAACCTTAAACTTTTGAGGTAAATTTTAAGAGCAAAACTGGTATCTAGTGTGGAAGCATTCAGCAGTTATAAGTGACTGAAAAGGTTTGAACTGTTTGGTCTTGTTAATGCCACATTCAATTTAAACCTCTCCTTTAAGTGTTAGTAGATGATTTTTGAAGTATGAGTCTTTGTGCATTGTTTATGTAAACTGTATTCCATGCCTTTCCAAATCATATAGATTAGAATCAAGCTGCAACACTTCTTTGGGGGGAAAAAAAGCTATTAGAATAATCAAAAGAATGTGAAAACCTTGTTATTTAGTAATACTAATATAAAGAAAGCATGACATTGTTTCATGGGCACTTTAAAAGTTTCCTGGTGTTTGTTGTTACTCTGTGGAAAAAGAAAACATTCAGAATATTTGTGAAACAGTTCTTTTAGGAAAGATCAAATTTTTTTATTTTTTTAAAATTTTATTTTACTTGGGTCTCTACAAGAGATTGTAAACCTGCTCTGAAGTCCAGAAACTTTCTTGTCAAAACTTGATCAAAAGTGGTGTCTTAGTGTGATACAGACTGAAGGATACCACTGGTTTTAATACATAGAAGTTTGTATGTTATGCTCTCAAATAACTTGTGAAGTCAGACTGGTGTTTTTTAAGTGTAGCATCTAAGAGGTTCGCGAAGTCACAACGGAATAACTTTTTTCCTCTCTGAACATTGCACTTTTTTTAACCTTCACAAGCAATCATACTCACGGGATGTGGTTACAGCCAAAGTAGTCTTTGCTACTTTTATACCAAAGTAGCATGCAAACAGGAAAAGCCTGTTGCTATTCATAGCTGCATGTTTTTCTTCAATCATAAAAGCAACACAGAATCAGCTCAGGAAGGCTATCAGTCCAGGGCTAGACCAGCAGTGCCTGTGTGAATGGCATGGGTCTTGTCATGTCTGAATACTCTCAAACTCTGAATGACTTGTGCTTTGATTTGGAAAAAAAATTTAATAACTATTTAAAAAAACAATTTTAACTCAGCATAGATTGTAAGATAGATCTAAACATTAGTTGCAGATAATGGCTAATAATTTTAATGCCTTTTCAGTAAGTAGCAAAATAAGCAGAAAAACATTGAAACAACAAATGAAATCAGCTTGCATCTGAGCTATTGACTGAGTAGCTAGTACATTATGACTTAGTACTGAATTTTTTCTGAAACATTCGTGAAGGTGTGGAAAAAAAAAATCTTTGTTTTGAGGGAGTAATACTAGCTACAGGTTAGGAAGAAAGAGCTGTTTGTAAGTAAATGGCATATAGTAAACTGAGTATCTATATACCTCTATTCTAAGATGTTAAAATTTTCTAAAAGGTGATTACTGGATTAACTCTGAAACAAATATAACTTCTGTATCTGGTGCTTAGCTTTCCTCAAACAGTTGGACTGAAACTGTGAGGACATTTTCATTTTTTTCTATTTGTGCTGTATAGAGACCATTTGTATCTATAATGAAGTAGAGTTGAGTGGTAGGCAGGATAATTTACAGGAGGTAAATGCAGTGTAGACTGACACACTTCATCATAGCAATGAGGTCTGAATCCTGTTTCTACCAGAAGTCATCCTCTACCATCTTCTGATTTGATGCTCTTAGTTTGTCAGAGAACCGGTTAAAAGGTAAGGGTCTGTTAACAGTAACTGGAACTGCAAAGCTGGAATTAAAGGTAAAAATAATGTAAAGGAAAAGCCTGTAGAACTGCGGTTATGTTTTGCTCTTTTATTTTTCCACATTATTTAAAACAATGTTTAATAGCACTGTGTCTTATTTTTTACAAGAAAATATTTTAATGTATTCGTTTCCTGCTTATAACCAAAAACTTCATATAACAGTCACTAAATGTCAGCACCTAAATCTTCATAATACTGTTGTTCTGTAGTGCAGTTTTGTTTTGTTTGCTTTGTTTGAGACTGTGGTTAGAGATCTTACTCTGTATTCAACATTCTCTTATTTTTTTTGTCAGTGCAAAATGTTTTTAAGGGGAAATAAACATTTACAGTGTACTGGTAACAAGGTGATGGTTCTAACATGAAACAAAGAGTTAACATTGGTGTTCATCCATTAACTAAAGAATACAGAAGTTTTACTTTTTTAATACTCAGTTTCTGCTTGCATATGATAATCTGTGCTTTATGAAACTATGAGACTCAGATGTATAAAAAAACACCCAAAATAACTATATTTTTATTTAGTGGTAGGTGTGTGGGTTTGTTTTTTTGTTTTTTTTTTTTTTTTTTTTTTAAAGCTTGGTTTTCCAGGTGATAAATTGAACTACTGTTGTAATTTGGATACATACTGTAGAAATTTAAAAATACAGACAATTCTAAACAGTTTGTTAGGGTCAAAAATTCAGATAGCCATTAAGCTTCTTGAAGAAAAGGAAAAATAAAAGTAATAAAAATCCCCCTCCCTGATATATTTTAATGTAAGTAAATTCTTGAACATAGTATTTTTATACAAAGATATATTTTAATCATAAATGCCATTCTATTCCTTAGTCAAATATTATGACAAATATATGACACAAAACCATTTTATTGCAATTATTAGAACACCACTTCCCAACCTCCTTTATAAAAAAACAACAAAACACTAAAACCAACAATAACAACAAAACAACAAAAAAACAAAACCCCAAACTCCAGAGATTTATATCCTCAGCTGGTGTAAAGCAGCACCGTGTCTTTGAAGTCACACAGACACTTGGCTGCAGAGCATCCAGCCCTGGAGATGTAGTAGTGCATAATGGCAGTTTGATGTCGGATACGTGTAGTCACAGGAGTTCCAAAGCACTCCAGCAGAGCCGGTTCAGACAAGTGCATTTCAGCCCACCAGCATATTTCAGATGGTGTGCTGCTTAAATGGATTAAACTTTTGATGATGTTTTTTTTGTAACAATAACAGCAGAAAAAACAGGAGCTTTGAAAATAGACTATTTAAATAGATGGTAATCTTAACACTACTAGGTAGACTAGTGTTAAATAAAAGCAGTTTGTAGGTTTATAATAAATTAAAAAACCCTTTGTGTTTGAGTCTGATGCAGTATTTATGGAAAAGTGATACAATTCACCATGTGGATTTGCAGAGCTACTGGAGTGCATTTCAAAGTACTGCAGTGGTATGAAATTAAACTCTTTAACATAAATTATACAGTAATCTGTGTAAAATTATAAATTCATAGTAAGTAATTACCCTGGATCATAGCCGGTGAAGTGTTGATAGACCAGGTAAATTTAATGTGGTGTCCGTTCATTTTCTGGGGAAGCAATTTAGCACACACAGGGCATAGTTTCATGCTGGCATTTGTTAATGAATGAGTAATAAATCAGGCCACAGAACTCCTTGGAAACATGAAAAAAATGAAGCTATAGTTCAATAAAAATAATAAAGTGCTTTAAATGAGTATTTGTTGTTTACTACATTGTTTCTCATTTCATGGTAGACATCAAAACCAACCCAATGAAATATGATAGTGCTCTGGAGTAAGTAAAACTGAGCCTGTTACTTATTGTAGTCAATATTTCCATGTATTCTCTTGTTTCGATGTTAGACTTAGTTTACAGTGGGATCAGAGGAGAGGCTTACAGTACAGGCTGAACTTGCACAGACATAAAGATCACCATAAATATTCTCTATTTTAAAGTTTCCATTTGCAAAAATGTGGATGTAAGAAGAAGGAAGCAAAAAAAGCAATCTAGAAACAGTTCATATCCAGTGTATGTAGCCAGTTTGCCTGAAATACACTGTTCAGTTTTGTAAGACAGAAGAGAGTTGCTGGGAATGTACAGAAATCTGAGAATTTATTCCAAGTCCATTGAGTGATAGCTGCTATAATATGGATGCTTCTTCCATGGCTTCAATCCACCTAAAAGGCATAGGAAAGGAAAAATGGTACACATAAAATTATATGCATTTTACTAACATACGTATTTTAAGATAAATAAGTATTTTAAGAATATAAAGCCTGAAGAGGACTGTATTTGCCATCCCAGCTCTAATGAAGAACTATAGTTTTGTGATTAAAGCAGGGAACTGGGTACAAGGACTCTAGAGTTCTACTACGACCTTTACCAGTAGTTCATTATAAAATCTCAAAGGTAGCACAAGTGTGATCTTAGAATAGGAAAGGTGAAACCACCAACATATGTTTAAAAGCAACAAAACCTCCCGTAGATACTCATTTGCTTCCCTATGTGTCTGGTCATGCTGGCATTTTTATTACTACTTTCATTACTATTTTATTATATGGAAACAGTAGCATTAGAATGGGAAATATAAACAATTATTTGTTGATGAGGAAACTAAGAGATGGATAAATAGAACACATAAATAAGAGAAGTTTCTGTACAGTAATCACATTTGACAGACTTCTAGGCATGACTCTTGAGACTCAGCCTCCTCTTTACCTCTATGAGGGAGCAAATTCTACTTCCTGAAGGAACTGAAAAACACCATCTATGTTTTTAATGTCACCCAGGCCAGTCACATGCAATTGGGCTTAATCAATGCTCTGAAAGCTGTTTGTTTTCTCTGTTATGAAGGCATTCTGAAGTGGAGAGGGAAAAGCCCTATATAAGCTTTTGGACCTGCACACTGGCTAGTGTGTAATTCTACCCCCGTACCTCTGTGCTGAATTGTTATTCTCTGCTCGGAAGCTATAAAAGAGAGTCTGCTTGTGGTAGAGATGGAAAACTGTATCCATACTTCCTTCCTCCTTTTCTGGGGCAATGGTGAAACCCAACAAAGGCAAACTTTCTGTGGCAACTTTGTCCTGAAAGCAAACAAGAAGTGAACAAAAATGTATAGAGAAGGCTTGTAACAGTTTGAGGGCTCTTTATGAAAAACCAAATAATGATACAGCCCCTCTCTGAACAGGGCTGCAACAGCAGTGGTGCGAATCTCCTGCTGGAATGGTGGCTCTTACCTAAACACAAGCAGTGCCTGTGTACTGCATGTGTTTATCTAGTCTTACTTCTGAAAGTCCAGTTCTTCATGATCATCCACACGGCCATGAAGGTCAAATTAACCCTTACTTTAATGGCTATCATTGACATCATGGTTCAGGAGGCAAACTAGAGGTTACTGAGAGTATGGTACAGTACAGCAGCAGTTCTGAAAGCCCGAAACCTGCTCCCTGTTATGTTCCTTTCAACCATTTTTATTTACTGAGTGCAAGTACCTTTTTAGTACTTTGTAATTTCCTTTCATAGCACTAGCAACTTTTTTAGAAATCTACACTGTCTCAAACAGCACACTTCTTTTCTAAAATGCTGCTTTGAAATTTCTGAGCTGGTAATGCAAATAATTGTTACTTTACTCCCAAGAAACATCCATGAATTTTGCTTGCCAGACACTGCTTTGTACAAGTTAAAGAAAACAATAAGCCTTAATCAAACTGCACATTAGCTGTTACTGATAGCTGCAGTTTTGTTTACTATATTTAGGTAATGTTTTCTGTATGTGTACGTTGCCTTTGCCTCTGCTTTCAGAAGCTAAATTGCAAACTGGGAATGCAAGGTGTAATTAGCAATCCATTGCTTTTTCCCTATTGTTGAACCAGAAATGATCACTTTTAAGGTTAGAAGAGGTAAGGTAAATGTATTGGATTCAGAATTTGATGCTAATAGTCTGAATTGCTGGCCAAATCATGAACTCTTGTGCCTCAGTCTCCTCATCTGTTTAAAGAGAATAATGTTGCTTCATGCAATCATCACAGTGGTGATTAAAGTTTAAGTAATTGATGTTTGCAAAGTGTTCTGAAGGCTTAAAGTACCAAATATTGGTGCGACAACAGTTCTTGCATTCTATGTCCTTTGTTCAGCAAAATGAATTTTTATGCTTCTTCTTGCAAAATCTATCACAGCCAAATTTTGTAGCACGCTTACTTCAACTTTATTTGTATTGCAGCTATTCACAAAGGAGAAGAAATTAAAATAACAGGGACAGGGAAGAGACAAAATACATTAAAATAATCTAGTTGATATCCAGCCTCCTTGGCTGTAGGAGGAGCTTACAGGCCAATACACAAGGTATTATTCTCACCTCTGCAGACTGCCTCCTGTCTTTCCCTGTTGGTACTAGTAGGACAAATATGTCTTATTTATACTTGCAAAACTACAAAATTATTGTCCCCACCAGAAATAGATCATAGCACCATCTATCTACAAAATATCGGTCAGTGGCTAGGGCTGTGGCTGAGCCCCTCAGCTCAGGACAGCTCTTTGGTGACTCAGTCTGTTAGGACTAGGTCTCAGGAGGCAGATAGCTGTGAGAACTGTCATTTCTATACCTTTCACATTTACTTGTGCTGTCTGTAGTGAGTAAAGAAGGGAACTCGGATAGGAAACTGTTTCAAGGTAGATTGCACAGTACCTCGTTTGCTACGTAGGTGTAGAGGACTTTGCCTTTGATAACAAACCAGCGTTTCTTCCAGTGTCTTTTGCCTCTCTTACATCTGCTGAGGTAACCACTGATGGTAGCTCCCTCGCCTGAGGCTGCCACCTGGAGCAGGGTAGGAGAAATCGGGATTTGTAATGGCAAAGGTTTTTCCCCTCCTGATTATGCGTGTTGCATCATACAGACAACCAGGTCTACGTGCATGAAACCATAAGTAGACCATTAAAAATACTGAGACAGAAAAAATATAAGCATGGTATTACAGTTCTTTTTAACTGAAGATTTCTGGTTAAACTTAAAATATACAGTTATTATTGAGGTCAGCAGGTTTACAGTTGTGTTCTGAGAAGCTGAACTCATCCCTTTTCCCAGGTCTGGTTTTGTGGTATATTAAAAGCACATGCTTCCAAAAGGGAATTAGAGTCTTGTGGCTGAACACTTTTAAGATGTGGGTATATTTAGGACTTTGCAATGCTTTTATATCAATTTATGTTAAACACTTGACTATGACTTTGTCTTATTTGTGAAATAATATTTCTGAGAAGAGTTACCCCTCTCACAGAAGTATTTTGAGATCGAAGTGCTTAATGTTCTTAGAGATCCAGATTTTGAGTAGATGGAACTATACACACACAATGCAGTGTACGTTGTTAGTTACAAGAGTAAACTCCAGTACTATTGGATTTAGAAACAAAGGACAGAGATTCAAAACCAGCTTTTTTAGCACTGGTACAAGCAAAGACTGAGCAGTAATACAGCAGTGTTTTGCAGCAGAACAGAAATGCTCCAGGACCTTAGTAAAGCAAGTCAGAGAAAGTTATGGAGCAGTGCTAGTGCAAGACAGTTCATGTTAATAAACCTGCTGCCTCCTTGTAGATAAAAGGCAATGCTGTCTTCCTAACGGGGCTGAAATTTTGCCTGCCAGTTCTTTCTGTATTCAGTTTCTGTGTTTGTATACAGGCTTGTCTCTTTGGCTCAGTTTCACCTCAGCACAAACAAACCTCTATAAATTCCAGTATCTTGACTGCACAATTATGTTCAATAAGAAGTTTGCAGACTAGTCTCTTCAATACAATGACAAATACCTGCTGATTTCAGTGAAATGGGGGTACCTTACTGTGCTGGAGTTCAATGGGCAACTTGGCTACCTAGACAACATTGTGATTGGCACCTTGTTCTTGGAAAGAAAACTAATATAGCTGGAGAAATCCTGGCCCCATTGAAATTGGTGTGAATTTTACTCGTTTACATTGGTGGGATCAAGATTTTACCTATCTGATTTAAAATAGCTTGGTTTGAGCTGGAGGGAGAGTGCCTGATTAAACGTTTATACTACTGAATTGATTGCCAAGAACTAGAGTCTGTTTTCCAAGTGGTATTTTCAAAGTAAATCAAAGTAAAATTTCAGAAGTCAGAGTCTTGTAAAAAAAAGGTAACTAACTGGTCAACAGTATAAAATGATCTGTTGATACTTGTCATTGTCTGTGATCTGCCTTGTTGTACTATCTAGCACCTTAAAGTCATCTTAGTTTTCTAAAAACTTCATAGGCTGATGAGCAAATTAAAGTATGGTGATCTAATTGAGTTTCACAGTGGGCTCAAGAAGCTTCGGTGGTATCTTCAGAGCTCAGTCTATTTTGTATTTTAAACACTATTGTGAAAAACAGAAAAAAAAATATTTGCATGATGAAAGTAGACCAGGGCATGAGAATATTCTGCACAGAGAATAAATGATAAACATGTAAGTATAAGCATATAAGCTTATATAACATATAATCATAAAACTGCTGAAGTATGACCACACAGTTCTCTACAGTGCCTTCCCTTTATCAGGTAGCTTGGTCCTACCTCCATAAGAGCTGAAGGGATCTTCTTCTGTTTCTTAAAAGATGAATAATGAATATTGTGGAAGACAGAGGAGAAGGCACTGCTTGAACACCTGGATGAAGTTGGAGGGAAGCTGACACTTAGTGGTCGCTCTGCAAGATTAAGAAAATTCAGAAAGGGAAGGGGGAAATGGATTAATCTGTACATACTAGATTAGGGTTAAGACATACACAATACACTAATGCAAATGCTAAGGAAAATGCAATGCCTTCTGCATAGATGGTTTTTGTTTTAGGTTTTCTTTCAAATTACCCCTTTAAGTCTGATTAGATGGGTGGATTTCATAGCACCCTAGGTTAATGATAATAACATACAGCTACTTGAAAGAAGCTTGCAAGAAAGCTGACAAAGCACAAAACACAGCTTGTTTTCTTCTAATTTAGGATCAGCATTAAGCAAATGGCTTTTCCATCTATCCCCTCATGTTCTGTAACACCTTTGCATGATAGGTTAAATCAGTGGGACATTCTTTTGGTATGAACCTTTCTCTTTGAGTTCTGCACGGGAGAGAGTTATTCTGTCTCTGTCAGTCTCCGTTAACCTCACTTGTCTGAGTTCATATCTTCATGATCTCTCTTCTGGCAACACACATTATCTGGAAGCTCTTAGTAAAGCACAGCATTGTTTAGCATAAATCTGAGTTATCACTTCTTGGACACACAGTGGCTTGGGGATGCTTTTTTGGCTGTTGTGATAGCATCTGTTCATGTGTTTGCTTGGCTAGTGTGCATTTTTTTAATCAGGATAGAAAAACTAAACTTACCTGTCCCCCATCTTTTTATCCTTGGCAATACAATGTGCCTACTTTTAGAGTTTGCTTACATGAATAGTTGTGCAAGAACATTATTTCCTGTTCATTCTCTGTTCATATATGTAACCCCTGCCCCACCCTTTTATTTTTGATTTGGATGTGTATTTAAATCCGAAAAGGGACTTAAGTAGTAGGACAATAATAGAGTTCTAGTTAGGCAGTAGCTCTTCTGCTTTGAATTCATGCTTTCATTTGTAACCAGATTAACTCCCCATGTAGAAAAACTCGTTAGTGACTCTGCACTTTATCTCAGCATTTCTTTTTGTAAAAGCTGCAAAATGGATGATGACAGTAGAGGAACTATAAAGTCTTTGTTTTATTTTGATGGATAATTCATTACAAATGATGGGGAAGAGCTATCACCTATAATTACATCACAGAACAGAATAGTTCATTTAGAAGGGACCTACAACAATCATCTAGTCCAACTGCCTGACCAATTGAGGGTTGCCCAAAAGTTAAAGCATGTTATTAAGGGCATTGTCCAAATGCCTCTTAAACAGTGACGGGCATGGGGCATTGACCACCTCTTAGAAAGCCTGTTCCAGTGTTTGACCACCCTCTGGGTAAAGAAATGTTTCTTCATGTCAAGTCAGAACCTGCCCTGACAAGGCTTTGAACCATTCCCAGGTGTCCTTTCACTGGATACCAGAGATCAGCACCTCCCTCTCCGCTTCCCCTCCTCAAGAAGCCACAGAGAGCAATGAGGTCGCCCCTCAGCCTCCTTTTCTCCAAACTAGATAAACCCCATGTCCTCAGCTGCTCCTCACAGGACATAGTTTTTATCGTTTTTGTGGTTTATCAAAAGGCCAGGGGAGCCCTCAGAGGACATGGCTTCCTAAAACAGTTTTAACTGCCATACTGCCTGGCTCTCCTGGGACCTCAATACTCGTGCCTTGTGCTTGAAATGAGAAATTCTCTTTAGCAAAACACAACATGGTAGGCAGATCCTAAAGTCTCCTCATTATACAGGCAGGAAATGGATTTGTCAGTTTCATCAAGAATAAAGGAATCTTACCTCTTTTCTTAAGTTCCACATAGCAGCTGTCACAGACTTTTGCTGCTTGATCTTTGAGGTACTTCATAGGGTACTTGTTTCTCGAACAATTTCGACATACAATCTGTTCCAGCAAGGAAAGATGCACATAAATATAATTTAAATTTATATATATGCATATATAAAACAAATCCTCTGAGCTGGCTGGGAGAGGAAGATGGATATTGGACCAGATATTACTCTCTCTTAAAACTCAGGGTAAATCTACTGACTGAAATGTGATTGCTGTAGATTTACACTGTTGTAAGCCAAGCAGAATTGATCACTGTATTTGGTTGCACGCCATTGCTGTGCCCATCTCCCCAGGAACTTATACTTCCCCTACTAGTGAATCACAGAAAGACCACTTTAATATTAATTCTGTTTTCATAGCTTTGTTAGTAACATTGTTTTTGTAAGTGAGCTTGCATGTTCCCACTGTCGCTGTGTAGGTACGGACTGATTGTGGAGTTAGAAAAAAGATTAAGTAAATGCTTTTTCATACTAGGAAAAATTACTGGTAGTTTGCTACAAAAAAAAGGCTAAGAGACAGTCATATATTTGTAGTGTATTGCTTGACAGCCTATATTTGTAGTGTATTGCTTCAGTGTCTCTAGAGCTAGCTATATATTGGATATAATGGCTGGACTCGGCAACAATTATCCTGTAAGGCTTCAACTACTGTGAGAAGTCAAAATTCCAGTTTTGATGTTGCTACAAGTTTGCAGAAGTTACAGCAGTGGCAGCCAGTGTCCTAGAGGTATGAATAAAGCTTCCCTGAGAAGCTTGTAGAGCTCTTACCTTCCCACAGGCATGGCAATGATGTCGCCTCAAAGTGAGGGTAAAGTCACAGCCACAGTTCATGCACATCATGACATGGGACACAGGTACCAAAGTAGGAGGTTTCTCACCCAAGGGTATTCCAAGCCTTTCCCTTAGCTTAAAATCAAACAAGAACAAATTAAGAAGCATCTGCACTTCCAAATTCCACTCAATCAGCCCTGTTTCATCACATACAATTCTCCTATCATTTCAGTCTTCCTTCACCTGCTAGGATCCCCAAATTTTCTAATTCCTAATGCACCTTGTAAGTGGGATACAGGTGCTTCAGCACTGAAAGATTGTGGCAAATCAGTACATCGTGCTGTTGAAGCCCGAGTCACAACAGGTAAAAATCTATGTAGATCTATTATTGGTCAGGCACTGACGCTAACACATCAGACAAGGATCTGATTCATTGCATGTGCAAACTGCAGGTAAGAACATGAGTTAAAGCCATCTTTTTATTAACAGCTTTTTAAATAATATCCATAAAAAGCCATATAGCTTTCAATCGAAAAGGGCCTGAGCTCTTTGTCATTGCACCTTGGGACAGTTCTATGATCGAGGAAGAGAGAGTACAAAAACCAGCAAAACCAAAGATTAATTTACGCCCACGGAATCCAAATTTGATCCACGCTTTCCATGACTGATCTGAATATATTAAAGCCACTTTAGAAAATGTATTTACTGTTCCTGTTTCTTGGAATGCACCACGTTGCGGTGTTGTACAGATGCCCCTTTGCTCCAAGCCCAGGGAGCCACAGTCGATGTGGAACCGAACCCAATCTAATAAGCCATGCTGAGAAGCTGTGTTACTTCAGGTTCAGCACCAAAGTATTATGGGTACCCCACTGTCAGTTCACAGCATCTTAGAGTTTGGCAAAAGTAGCTCTTGTGCTTTTGAAGGACCGCTTGTTAGAAGGGTTTCTTATGAGGAAATGAGACTTCTGCAGACAAATAGGATTTAAACACAAAAAAAAAAAAAAATTCCTCTAAATTTCTCCTTGCACACATTCAGTTTTACATCAGAAGCAGAGCTGCAAAAGTAATTATTTTTTTAATTTGCTGAAAAAGGATTTGGTTTAGGTTGCTATACTAACTAATTTCTAATATTTTCTTGTTAAATATTTGAAAGTAGATTAGCTTCAGGCCAGAAGGAAAATCCTCTTTTGTTTTTTTTCAATTCATTTTTTACTTTCTGAAGTCCTCAAAAATTAAATCACAGAATCACAGACTGGTTGAGGTTGGAAGGGACCTTTGGAGGTCGTCTGGTCCAACCACTATGCTCAGGCAGGGCCACCTACAGCCAACTGCCCAGGACCGTGTCCAGGTGACTTTTTAATATCTCCAAGAATGGAGACTCCACAACCTCGGTGGGCAACCTGTGCCAGTGCTCAGTCACCCTCACAGTGAAAAAGTGTTCCCTGATGTTCAAGGGAACCTCCTATGTTTCAGTTTGTGCCCATTGCCTCTGGTCCTGTCCCCCAGCCATCACTGAGAAGAGCCCGGCTCCATCTTCTTTACAGCTTCCCTTTAGGTCATTTATAGACATTGATGAGATCTTCCCTGAGCCTTCTCTTCTCCAGGCTAAACAGTACCAGCTTTCTCAGCCTCTCCTCCTAGGAGAGGTGCTCCAGTCCCTTCATCATCTTTCTGGCCCTTCGTTGGACTATTTCCAAGGTTTCCATGTCTCTGATGTACTGGGGAGCCCAGCACTGGATACAGCACTCCAGGGGTGGCCTTGCCAGCACTCTTTTCTTACAGTTAGTCTTATTTAGTAAAGCTGGAGTTCTACATAATCTAAAATAGCATTTTTACTTTTTGTCAGGTGCATTCTTTGCCTTCTTAACTGGGAGTAATACAATTGAAATCAATGAGATAACAATAACACATATCAGTTGTGCTGGTACAATTAGAATATTGCTGGTGGGATTTGCACTGACAGTGACTTTATTGTGTGTACGATATTAATGTAACTAAAAGGTAGTTTCATTTTAAAATCTGCAAAGTTTGTAGCTATTTTTAGGTCATCCAAAATAATTACCCTTTAGGACAAAATAGTCTTCCTCCAGAAGAACTCCTATTTAAGCAAAGACCACTGAGTATGGAGTGTGATTAACACTTCAGAGGTGGCCCATGAGCTGTGATGAGCTTTGTTATTTAAGTCTGACATGCTGGTTTAAATGAAGATAGTAAGAACGTCTTGCCACTGCGAACTCTGCATTTTATAACCCTCCTCCCTCTCCTCTCCCTTCCTCCTTTTCCCTTCAAGCATTGAAAGACTTGGCCTCCTTTTACCTCCACGCTGCTCTGGAAAGTGGAAGTGTTGTGAGCTTTGTAGTCATCTGGGATGTGTCTGCTGATGCAGTTGTACCAGTCATCCCTTTCTGAACAAGAGCTGTGGAGTGAAATACAACAGAGCAGTCAATGCTATGCAGACCAGGGACTGAAACAAGCTGGTTTTGGATTAGAAGAGAAAAACTTCATGTTATAAATGTTTGCTTTTCCTTACTACTCCATGGAACTGGTAATTTTCTGACCAGGAACAAAATTGACTGTTGGACATACTCAGCTGGATGATTAGTGTAGATCCACGGTTAGGACCGTGGCTGAAAAGGAACTAAATGCCCAGAAAGTTTTTCAGAGTAGTTTCTGACTTTGCTATAAGCCGCCCAATCCTAGATTACACAGGACAATATGAAATGTCTCTTTTTGTCATGTTCCATCACAGACAATCTTCAGTCTTCTGGCAAGAGACCAGGAGAGCAATTTGGGAAGGAAGTTCTGCATTTCCTCTAGTTGCAGGTACACATGGAGGCCAGTAGTTCTCCAGACTGGCCCCTAGATGCCCCCTTTGCACAAGGCAAAACAGTGAGCACGTTGTGCTTCTCTGCCAGTCCAGCTATCCCAGGAAAGCAGCAGGGCTTTTAGTGCCTGTTGCTCCCCAGGTGCATTTGCTCTGTGACATCTATAAGCTGGCCTGCCTGTGTGAGCTGGTTTTCCTGCTGTGACTTCAAACCGTGTACTTCCTGTCCATCTGAAACTGTGCATGGCTCAAGCTGTTCCCAGCATCAGTCACAGGAGGCAATGTGGCTCAGTGTGGTCTCCCCTCCCCAAGTCATACCAGCCACTCACATTAAAGCTACCCACTAGACTTTGTTGTAAAAATTTGCAGTGGCATGGTTACCAGCAGCTGTTCAGCTGTGATTTCCTTGCACTGTCTTCATGAAGGCCACCAAACAAGACATCTGAGAACATTTTGTCTTTTGTGGTCTTTTTTTTTTTTTTTTTTTAAAGGAAAAAAAAGAAGAGAGAGAGAGAAAATGCCAGATTTTATCAATGAACTCTGACAGCATCCCTCTGCACTGTGAGCATAAACCCTTGTCTGAAAAACGCCAGCATCTATAAAATTCAACAAGCCTGGAGTAGAAATTGGAACATAAACTCTGAACCAGTGAAATCCACTGCATACAGGCTAACCACTGCAAGCCAAGGGCCTATATTACAGGAAATCATCTCTGGCAAGAGTCACACTGCTAGTCAGTCCTTATTACTACCAAAAGTCCTGTGAAGTTACACTTTCTAAGAAATCTGAAGATGTCTATATCTTCTAGACAAATCATGTTCACAGCCTGCAAAGCACTAAAAGAAGTCCTGGCTTCAGCCTTTCTCCTGCTAATTCTTTCTTGGAAATTTTCTTCACTTGAGAATTAAGATTTGATTTAAAAAAAAATCAAATAAAATCATGGCCCATATAGTAATGCAGATTAAAGCCACTTTGGGAAAGACAGGTAAGAGGGACAATGTGCTATTTAAAAGCCTGATATCTAACTGGTGCCTTGAACCTCTTCTCTACTCCATTAAACATCTCTAGGCAGTAATCACAAGTTATTAGTGTCTAAATGTGGGATAACACCTGTCTGCTGCTGAGTAAGATAAATTATGTCAATTGGCACTGGCCTATTCTTAATTATCTATTTCATTAGTTGCATGAAGGCTCAGAGGAATTTTTGCTGAACCTCTGAAGCTCAGAGAAGCTCAGACCTCGATTCACCATTACCACATTTGGTCCTTGTGTGGTTTTTGGGCTGTACCTTTTGTGCTGAGCTATCGGTTATCCACGTTGGCTCGTATATTCTTCCTTAAGCAAATAGAGAGGGTCAAATTGTCACTGCAGTCTCCTGGACAGCAGGGGACATCCATGGAACAGAGAAACTGGACTGGGATGGGATTTTGTTGCAGTGCTATCGCTATCACTCTAAATTAGCCTTCTGAGCTTTGGTTGTCCTCATTCTACTGCCTGTAGTCCCTGGCACTCATGCTGTACTTCCTTAGTGCCTTCATCTTGTCTCATACAAGCGTAAAGGCATTGAGGTTTGGGTTGTGACTATTAACAACTGGCTTTCAGTGCAAGCTTGCAGTACCTTGATGTGAGCAGTAAGCTACAGTCTTTAGGGGTGTTTGAAGCCTTCCAGTACTTTTCTGTCTTTGGTGCTCCTTTTAGTGAGTGCACAGGCCAAGGATGTTGTGGGGTTAGGAGAGCATGCTGTCTCACCTGTGAGTTGTCACCTCTGCCGGCCAGTACAGAAAGGGAGAGGAAAAAATGTTCTTGGGTGGCTTGTGGCAGATCAGTCCCAGAATGAGCAGCACAAGGAAGGGAAAGGGGCTGTATCCCAGTGCTCCGGTAAGAGTCAGTCTCCATCTGGCTATTATCAGAAGGGCAACCTTAGTCTCAAGCCCTGGTTCTATCTGCTACCAAAGAAACACAGCTCACAGTGGCCTCACATGCTTTGTTTAGGCTAACAAAGCACAGAGTTGATATGAGTACAAAAGGCAAAGAAACAACATAACAATGCAAGCAGAACATCCCAAGCTGCTCACTAGGGATGCCAACTTCAGTTGCTCTGAATAAAGACAACGTGCAGCAGTTATTTCCCGCCTACAGTACAGAAGGACTGCACACATCCTGCCTTTGTATGTGGCAGCAGGTAATTCGGAAGTACTGTGTGTATATTTTGAGAGTTGTGATGAGTGTGCAGCTCTAAGAAAATCTCAGATATTTTCTCATTTGCTTATTATAAAAGGAAATCAACAAAAAGGCTCTGAAAGGTATCTGAGCCGTGCCCACAGATGGCAAGAAGTACTGTGGGAAGGATGAGAGTTCCAAATTCTGGTTCTGAATAAGAAAGTGCCTTCTCTGTCTTTCTATTTCACTGTGTAATTTAGGGAAGTCTGCCGTGTTTCCAGCCATGCTGTAGTCAGAGACTGATGCTGGGAAAGTCAGTACTTAAAATCACTGAAGACCTTGTTATTTGGAAGACTTAATTTTAATGCCACTGCTAGTGTGGTATGTCTTTTGTAGTAAACTACACGTGAAAGTCAAGCCAGCCACCTTTCTCTGCTGTAGCTCTAGGTAAGTTTGCAGAATAATTTTTGGCTAGAAGCATGAAAAAATACAGTCCACTACCATCTTCTGATCAGAAACTGACCTACAATCTCTTTCTGGCATTAACCTTTGATCCTGGGTCTGACTTCAAGTCGCAGTTAATACTAGCACTACACAAACTCATTAGTCAAATTCTTTTTATTAGAAAGACCCATGAATTTACCACTAAGGATTAATTTTGGCTTTTTAAAGCACTATTAAATGCTTTTGTATCTATTACATGGTATTACTCAATTACTATTTTCTCCAGCAGTTTAGCAGCCCTAATGGTATGAGGTAACAAGTGAACTTATAAAAGGGAGATGTAATATACTTAGTGTTACGGGAGAGAAGTGTAAAAGAGAATGGAAGGGACTTAGGCTTCTTAGTAAGAGACTTTCTTCTCTTTCCTTTCCCTTTAAGATGTTATCAAGAGCCAACTTCTAATATTCACTCTGCATATGAGTTGAATTAGTTACAGTTTGAGCTTTGCATTTATAATTAATATCTTCATTGTGTAATCAAGCATTCGACCATTGTCTGTCACAACAGTGCAGACTGAAATTGAGTTAAAAAAGAATGAGACACTAATTAAGTTTTGGGTATTGGTTAGACTAATCTAGAGATACAGCTCCAGAATATAACACCCTGGGCCATGACTATTTGGAAGCAGTACCTTGCTGACAGGGTCAGGCAGTATTCATCATATTCAATCTTCAGGACGTTTGGGGCTTTTTCTGTCACTGGGCAGCTGACCTAGAAACAAATGCCATGAACATGAATGTGGACATGAGTTAAATTGTCTGAAACCAAGTACACCATACAAGTCTCAATGCATATGGATCTGTGGTGTTCCAGACATCTGTTTCGTATTTCAATGTGAAGAGATGGGCAGGTAGGGTTTTCTGTCTTTCATATTGCTGGTGTACTGAGGAATGCTCTCGATTTCAATATGGTGATGATGCTAAAGGAAAAAAATAATTTAATACAACTATAAAGGTAAGGATAAGGTATCAATCAGGGTTTAGTTTTAATATAAGAAGCTTAGGAGAAGTTTAGTCTGACAAGTGTCAGAGCATTTCCAGCAAAGGTTTTTTGGCTGTTCTTGGAGTGAATGGAAGTAACTTCCTGACATTCAGACATTATACAGTGAAGCACTTCAGTTCAGTGAATGTCTGTCTGCAGCAAGGCTCTTTAAGAGAAAAAAAAAAATACTTAAAAGCTACAGCTCAGCTAGAACCTTTCCCCTGCCATGTAGTGTATTAGTTGCCTGCTAATAGCAACAGCCACTTGGGAGAAATGTAGCTTCATGGTACTGACGCATTGTTAAAAAGCATCTATTATGCCAGTGACTTGGTGTTTCAAAGGCACCCCAACAAGTACCTGCTCTGCAGCTCCTTTTCACTTAATGGTAGAGTGTTTTGGTTATTCCTACCCCAGCTGGGGACCCATAGTTAGTTTTAGACTTATCAGGTGTCTAAGGGTGATTAGCCTCTACCTTGTCATAACACCTCAACCCACCCATGTCAGTTCACTGGAATTAATAATTAGCAATTCTCATCTTGCATGGTTTCTAGATCACCATACTCCTGACATGTCACTTCAAGTCCTCTTTCACACAAATACAACTTGGCATATTAGCTGTAGAACAGTTATGAAGGTTCTTGGCAGGAGGTATGTAATAGATGGCTAGGTAAGAAGCAAACATCACTCCAGCCCAGTATCTCCTGTTGCACAAGTACTGGTGCCAATGGATGCTTAGGGAAAGGGTGTAAGAACAGGACAATTGTGTCCAGTTTCTGTAATCTGCAATTTAGGCATTTCCTGAAGAAGAGACTGTGTTTATATCATTGCATGTGATGGCTCCCAATACACCTTTTCCTCATAAAGGTGACTTACCAGTTTTTGAACCCATTAATGCTTTTGATGAAAACAGTTAAAGGACACATGAAGGCTAGGCAAATGAAAGCTTATATAAAGTTTTAGTGGTAGGAGTTTAAACCCAGGCAGACTAAGCTCTAGTGAATATATTGTAGGGGACAACCATGTATTGGCTGGAGACATGAAGAGAGGAATGGTCAAAATGGATAATAAATCTTTTTGTCTCCAGTTTCATAATCAAATGGTAAATCAGATTTTGGCTTGTATTATTTGTGCAGCCTGAATAAGGCTGTTGTACTAAGTCACAGCCTTATAGATAATCTTGTATACACTTGCTTTATATTTTTCCTTTTGTCTCATGTAAGAGGCAAGGGAATCCCTTGATGACAGGTCCATTCCCTCTTTCTCCTTGCTGGATATGAGACATAAACCAGCAAAGCACTAACAGCCCACTATACAACTTTAATTCCAGCCTATAATACAGATGAGGCATTACCTTCATGCCTGACACAGCCAAGGTGTTTTTCAGTCGGTATTTGCCATCCTTCTGGGGATATGTGTACAGCAGAACATCATTCATCTATATGAAGAGAAAGACAAAATCAATAATTTGCAGTATGGCTTGCAGGCCTGCCCATTACTCCTGGGAGGGATACCCAGAACAAGCAGTAACTTGATGAACTGCTAGGACTGTTACTAAAGACAGGCCCAAGTTTAGATCAAGACCTGCATCTCCACAAAACCCTGTGGAGTTTGCCTCCAGGACTTTGATTTCTTCCCATTTTTGACTGTTGCTAATGGCTAAGCAAGTAGATAATCAGCTCTTTTTTATTCAGCTTGGGTGAAACAGCTGCTTGTTTTAAGGGCAATGCCATGTTCAAGTTGGGAACGCAAGCTCTGCGTTTACTACCTGGCAATACCAACTAACTGCCCAGGATGCTGCAGCTCTGACTCTCTTTGGGTTCCCCTGGCAGTTAAGCTGCAGTGAGGCCAGGGCTAAGGCTGGGATTCACGGACTTCCATTTTCTGGGCAAAAAGGAAGTGGAGGTGAGGAGAGGTGCCATAGTCTGGAGGAATGATTCAGGGAGGAATGGTTTGCGTATTTGAGAGCAGTAACTGTACTTCACTGCTGGCAAAACTCGCCTAGACGTGCGACAGCTTTGCAGAGTCTGTGGGCTGCAGCAGAGACCACAGAAGGGAGAAAACCAGAAAGATTGTTTCATTTTATGAGGGGAAAAAAATCTGTACCTTAACACACCTCAGATATTTCCATAGTTCTTGCAGCTCTTTGCAGAATGCATGTTTTTCAAACTGCTTCCTACTATATGGGATCAGATGTTCTCTGCTGTTTGCCTAACTTAATCATAGACATTATTGCAGCCTTTTACCTTCACGCCAGTCAGCAGAACTGGACCTTGTAGGTCTTTACTGGCCTCTCCTTCCCTTACTACTAGAAGGAATAGCAGTACTGGTGAGCCTTAACATTGCCAAAGTAACGCTTGTGTGTGTATGCATTCTGTGCTTTACTTGAATGAGCAGGTCGTGTTCTCTTGTCTTTCCCAGGCCTCTCACGTCGTTACCAATACGCATAAATCAGTCAGGCCCTTGATTACTGTACTGGGATACTATGAACAAAGCTACGCAAGACAATGTAATACTAAGGCATAGGTAATATTGTGTGATGCCAGAGACAAGGCATCTTAAATGCAGAAATTCTAAAGAAATTAAAAAGCGGACAGAAACCAACTTCACTTGAATTCCTCTGTGACAAAGACATTTAAATATAGCCAATTGGATGGTAATAATAATAATATATTTTGGAAGGAAAATTGTGATAAATTGAAACGCAGAGAAGAAGGGAGGAAACTAAAGAATGATTTGGCAATAAAATAAAAGTATCCTGTATGACTGCTATTGTAGGGGTCTTGCTAGTACTGCCTGACCACCTGAAACTGCTGGTGTTCACTAATTTGCTTGCCTGAAAAAAAAAACGGAAAGTGGAGCCTTATGGATGTTTTCTTAAAAGGTCATAGTTTACCTTATAGAGCAGAAACAATGGTTAAAGAAAAATGACATGGAATTAATACTCACGGGATTAAATCCTTATGACCTTGGATTTAACAGCAAAACTGTAGTTGCCTTTATTAGGGTCATGAGTTCACTCGTGGACACCAGTTCATTAAGTAGCTGTGTGATTCACAGCAAATCAAGCTTATGTGCATTAGCTGCCCAGCTTTAAGATGCAGATTCCCAATAATGTGAGGCAAAATAAACTGGAGTGACTTTTTCCAGAACTTTTACTTCAAATTTTACCACTTCTTTAAAATTGAATTGAATTTACTGAGTAGGATCAGCCCATATTTTTGTAGAAAATTCTGAAACATTTCAACAAAAAGACTCCCTTGCACTCCTGCATTGGCCACTCTACTGTGTATTTCTCTGTGTCTTAACTCATGCGGAGTTTAAAACTCTTTTAATATAACACTTCTCAACTGAGGCTATAAAAGCATACTATCAAGTCAGAATGAGTTCTCTTTTCTGTAGTCTAAAGTGGAGTATTTACTCTTTTGCAACAACAAAATAGCATTTCCTTAGAGCAAGGTGACAAATGGCTTATCACAGAGTTTTTCTGTGATTTACTTATTGCTGCATAAATTACCCTCCATGCTAACATTAATCCAACCAGCACAGTGACAACTGCACAGTACTGACCACATGATGATTCCCAGTTTAACCAGGGCTATGCATAACCAGAAAATTCATCACAACCTATCACACACTGAGTATCTAGGAGGCTAAGGTAGAAAAAACTGAGCAAATGTAAACCTTTCAGTGAGAAGCAGATGAAAGCTATTTTCACTGGTATTACTAGTAGCAACTAGGACTCCCGTAACCAGGTGGGGAAAAGGTAAAAAGGCAGACAGACTTTATTGCTAACATTAAGAGAATACTCTGTGAATACTAGTGAACTCTATTTGCCTGGTGATTCTGCTGTCTCCTAAATGTTGAAAGGATTATATGAGAAAACAGGACTTACTCTGCCACACTCAGTGCCAGTGCTAAAGGCTTGTTTCAAACCACAAGGAAAAGTAACTAGTTATGGGCACTAAATCCAAGAAAGTGAACTTCTAAGAGAGATTAGCAAGATCCTGGCATAATGTGCTACTGGCTTTCTTGAACAGCAAACCCCATTATTTTATTTATTTTAATAGTTATATATTTCTTTAAAAAGCAACTCATTATTTTATTATTGTTGATTAACAATAACACCCTGATGCTTACCGTTGTCATGACAGCTCTGGTTAATATCCCAATATTTTATTAAACATTAATGATGACTTTGCTTTATAATTGCCCATTTGAGTTTTTTTCCTCCTCTTGTTTTTCTCCCCCACAGTATATAGCTGTAGGCTGTGACTCTGAGATCCCACCAACCACAGCTTGACACAATGCAATTACAACTAATACTTCAAAGCTTGTTAAGCAAGGCACACATACTCATCAAGAAAGAAAGGTTTTGCACTTGCTGCTGTCTCCTTTGCTACATCTACATTGGAGACCTGAGTGGTGGGTATATGAATGGTATGGACAGAACTAGCATCAGTAGCAATGGTTTCCTGCTGTTCCCTGAAGCAGTAAGGACTGGGCTGTGATAAAAGCTGATCTTGCAACCCCTTAGGAATCTGTGGTAGAAGAGTTCAACCCCCAGGGGAGTTCCGAGAAGTCCTTGGGCTTCAGACCCACTTCCTGGTCGCCGGAGAACTTTTTGAATAATTGGGATCCCCAAACTGCTCGGATATTTATATGGGATCACATACTCCTATTCTGCACTACTCTGTGCAGAGTCCCCAGAACAACAGTTGATAACACAAAGAAGGATACATCTGCTCTTTAATTTTCTGTTTCTCTGTTTTTCCCCTCTTCTTTTCCCCCTATTGTGTTGGGAACCCAGTAACATTAGATGTCAATGCAAGTTTTCTAACCTATAGTGTCCAAATTTATTGATCCAAACAAGTTTATCTATGCCCCGCTGAACTGCTGACATCCACATGTAGTGCACTCTCTTGTCTAAAAGCTCCTACCATGTGTTTCTTTTTTCTGAATGTTTTAAAGGGTAGTTCATTATGAACCTTGTGTTGTTCTATTCAAGTCTGCATCAAACATCCCCTGAGTGTCAGTGGAGCAGCCTGAATGTGTACTGGGTCTGCATTTTCCAAGCTCTGACTCCAAAACCTCCTGTACTCCAGCCCTGCCAGCTAGGGCATTAAACAGTCTCCCATTTGATAGCAGCTTCCCGCACCCTACATGCAACACAAGCAGCCTTTGTAGAGAAATTCTTGGAAGGGTGAGATAAGAGACAGTGTCTGACTTAGGGGCCTATGGTTGGGGGACAGTTAGGGGGCCTGCCAGTGTCAGCAGCCCATACTGTGCTGCAAAGAGGCCCCCAACATCCTTGTAAACAGAGACTGGACTCAGGAAACAGGCACACAGCAAAACTCGCTGAACATCCTGCCAGGAAACACCAGATTCAACAATACCGTCAGCCTGCACAAAGCAGCTAGCTCAAGTAACCTTGTGATACACACAACTTAACCCGCAGAAACATATGCACATCAAAAGCCCCTAAATGTGTGTCCTACGCACTCATGCCTATGTGGGCTGTGCACAAACATGCAGCACTCCTTATGAGCACATATTCAGAGTACAAGCACACACACCACCAAAGCATACCCTGAATGCATAGGCCAAGTAGGAGTCTGGCACATACCCAAGTTTTATGGCATATTCTAACTATAAATTTAGTTTGGTGGGCTCATCTCCTGGGATGTGTAGGGGTTAAATTCTCAAGGTTATCCTTCAGTGTATACTCTTCCACTGAAATTCTCTCCAGGTCCTGGGCTTGACTTAGCTTCAGTCAGAGTAAGTTCACTACTAAGAACTTCAGAAAATGCTGTTCTTGGAAAAATCTGTTTTGAGTAGCTAAGGTAAATACACTTATTTCATCCAAAGCTAAAATAAACTACACCTATACATGTTAGCTTCTGTTGATTTTTTTTGAGTGGCAGCTGACATGTGAAACATCAAAAAAGAAGCCAGTTCCGAAAGGCTTGTTGTTTGGTTTTTGGTTTTGTTTTTTTAAATTAATATATTAGGACAAATTCTTATCCTACCCGAGTTTTACCAGTGGCTTCAGAGAATTATGATATGGTCCTTAGAAGTAAAGGGCTTTAAATAAATTTGAGTTTTAAGAGACAGTGTTTAGGAGATTATTCTAGTCTTGGGGTTTTGTGGTTTTGAGTTGTTTTTTTTTCCACACAGAATTAAGACAGCACATGGATTGGGCTAGATGCACTGGCAGAGGGAAGGATATGTTCATGCAGGCCTTGGCTATTAGAAAAAGGTGTTGGCAGTAATGGTTGGTGGGGTGTTAAGGCTGATGCAGTAAGGATGCTATATGCCAAGATGAAAATACGTTGCCATAGCTATGCAGTAGTTGTCTTAATGTATCCATGGGCTAAATAGTACATGAAGTAATTAGTGAGTGGTGGTGGCACAACGGAGAATCCATAGCATTAGCAGTGACAAGCAGATGAGGCAAAACCATTCAGGTGTTAATGCAGGAATTGGTATATTCCACAGTGACTCACTTCCCTGCAATGTCTCCATACATGGCATTGCTCTGCAACCTGAGGAACTTTCCAGGTAGAGGGGACTGAGTAAAAAAAAATAACTGTGCCCAAAGGCAGGTATTTGCCGATAAGTTTCAAACTGTTTCCAGGATCCAGTCATCCCCTACCTGCCCTAACAGGAGACATAATAGGGGAAGCCTGAAGTGGTTGCAACTTTAGCATGTTTTAGCAGGAAGGAAGCCCGTTTTATGTGTCTCTTGGTTCTGGAAAGTGACAGCTATGGTTTAGTCTAGCTGCACCACATACTTTGCATGACAACATGTTTGGTCACAGTTTGCCTTTCTGACTTAAAGGAAGAAAAAAACCTTGTTTCTGAATACTGAGAGCATCTATTAGCAGGACATTGGCTACTGCAGTGTCGCCAGATGCCAAGAGACACTTCTCTCTTTGCAGTTAACATCCGAGTTTGAGCAGCTGAATTCTTCCCAGGAATCAAAAATAGTTCCTAAACTAGAAAGTGACAGAAACTAATTTCCGTGCTTTCTTTGTTCCAGTAATACTTTCAGCCTCTTGTGACCTTCAAGCTGATACAACCATTTTGGACTACCTGACATTTATCTCAGTTTATACTGAGTTTAAATTACTTTCTTCTCAATGTTTATTACCAACCTGATTTCTGATCTTCCTTTTAAATTCTCTATATCAGCTATTATAGCTAGGTTTGTGACACTTCAGTATTTGCCATAGTAGTAGATTATGATGGCAGTTACGAACACACTGGAAAACAAAATGGTAAAAACTTCTTGGAATTTGGTCCCAGCTTTAGCCACAACTCCAAAATGTTTTTGTAAAAGGCAAATGTTTCAGAAGATAAGAAGCTTGTGCATCCACTCATACACAAATAGGAAATATTAATTAGAAGGAGAAATAAGAAGAATTAATGGCAAAATGTATGACTTCTGTAATAAATAAGCCATCTCTCCTCCTCACAGTGGTGCCAGGATGAAAAGCTGTCAGCACTTATATGTATTTGCTGTGGCCTCTGTAAGCCATTTATTTTAAAATAAATTCTGCAAGAAGTACTTTAATGTTAAGAGCAGCAGTAATGCTCAGTTCTTTATGGTTCAACCGGAAATGTTGAGAACAGAGCCCAGGAGCCTGGAATCTCACCTACTGTCTAACTGCTCAATGTAGTATATAATGCAAAACAGAAAGCATGACTGTTGATAGCATATCTCCAAAACACTGTTTTTTCATCTGTTTTGATTTGCAAATATTTGCAATTTTTGCAGTAGGGTTGAGGACCCTTGTGAAGGTTATTCCAGCCAACTGATGAAAGGTTCATTTTTCTTAACTTAGAATTTTGCAAACCATCATTGGAAACTGTTGCTCTAATCAACAGGAAGCTGAAGGTGTGTGTCCAGAGGTACTATACCAAGGCAATGCACAGTTAATTAGGTAAAGACTCCTGCTAGGGTTCAGGGCTGTGTAACTGCAGGAGAAGACATGAGAGAGACAGTAAATATATAAAACAAATCTTACCAAGAACAAATGCCGAGGCTGCCTGTTTTTGCCAGAGACTTTCATCAGCGTCCCCTCTTTAACAAAGATCTGAAGGAGAAAACAGCAGATTGTAATCCTGAGATTTGTCATTCTGAATCTTACTGAAAAAAGAGAATATTCCTCTTGGGGAAAGAGCTACTCTAACTGCTTTCATCAGCACGGGAAGAGATAGATACCTGAACACTTGCTTCTAGCCTTACTCCTCATGATCTGGCTTAGTCTTTGCCCTGCTGCCCTTCATGGCTTACACTTGTATCAGTACTGAATCCGCTGGAAACCCACTTGTCCGCAGCCCACTGCTTCTGCACCATGGACTATGCTTAGAGGTGGCTGTCATAGATTGCAAAGCTAACATATAACGGGCTTCAGAAAAGAATTCTTACCTTTAAAAATCCTCTAAAATAGGCCAAAAAGAAAAGCTGAAACCTCAGTTTTCAGCATGTTACATCCACGTAACTATACCTGCATACATAATCTGTACATGTTTGCAAACACAATATTTGTTGGTCCGTATTGTTACTGTTATAGACAGGACTATGGAACTAGTTGATCTTTAAGTTCCTTTCCAACCCAAGCCATTCTATGATTCTATATAAGCAGCTAAACCAGCATACTAGAATTTCATTGCAATAACATTTGAAAAGGACTAGAATAACTTAACTACATGAGTGGATTAACAGTCATCTACTCTTTTCAGGTGGAGAACAGTCTGATGTAGTTTTCCACTCTAGAACAATTTATAACCTGAGAGACCAATCTGGCAAATTCTGTGTGCTGGGCTTTGCAGAATTTGTTAAAGCATTACCTGGCAAGGGCAAGGAAGAATACTGATGTTCGAGGAAAAAACAGAGGTTGACTGCAGTATTTGGCTAATGAGAATTATTATGTTACAAGTATGCGTGCCTTGACAATTGTTTCAGGAGTTTTGCTAAAGATATTGGTGGGCTGAAGGGAAATTTAAGAGTTGTAGAACTTGAGAAAGAAATCTTCTGAAGTTTGGAGACAAGCTGGAGCTGAGGAAACTGGACAGGTTTGAAAGCCAGGAGAAGAAATTTCCGCATTTGATGTGGATGGCAAGATGGACCTATACACTCTCCCACATTTCTGTTCGTGTGTTGCTTAAAATGCTGTCTTGCATTAAAAGCGCCACTGGGGAGTGGTGAGAATAAAAACTGGAAAACAAATAATTTCCCCTGATTTAAGGCTCTTCCCAAGCCAAATAAAACTCTAAGCCTTTCCAGGCTGCAAGTGATTCCTGCTAGTGTTGCAAACTTTCAACAGGAGGATATAGGGAGGAGAACAGCAGCTCCATCAAAACAAACTACACATGGGGTGGCTGAGGACGGATGGAGTGAAAAGTCAAATGGCTGCTCTGTGTAGAAGCAGGGGCAGTGCATGTCTTTCCCAGCCTGAGGCTCTTGGCACATCTCTTTGTGCACTGCCAGTGATGGCTTTTTACACAAACCAGTGCTCCAGCTCTTATCACAGAAGCTCAGTAAACAACACCTGTAGACGCCTGAAATCTGGCCATCCGCACAATCGGAGATATAGCTGGCCGGAAACAATGTCCTTATCAGCATAGGTTTGCCTGCAGCACTCACCCTTCCTGGCTGGAGGAGGCCGCTCTGCCCTCTCACACTGTGCTCAATGTGTACCAGCTTCTGCAGATTTTCCTGAGGGAGAGAAACAGCATTTAGGAGACTGCATGGTGACCGTTCTTTAGACAAGCAGGCAAACCTTCCCTCACGCCTCCTCACCATTTTATTTCTCTAAAAGTGGAATTTCAGAATCAGGTTTCAGAGATAGCTGAGCCCAGGGATTTTATGCCCAGAAAGTCTTCTTCCAGCCTTACAGTTTTTATAGAACCTCCTCACCTGCATTCATATGTGCTGTGGCCTTTTGCAGTCCTGTTACATCTGACACCTCAGTTCACCCTCAAAAGGACATGCTAACTCCACACCATAATTATACATTGGCCTCTTTGTTGCCTTTCTTGCTCTGGGAGCTAATAAACTGGAAGAAGAGACAAAGTACAGTATCTGCTCCAGAGGCCTGCACATTAGTGGCATGACACGGATAATCCTCATGTGCTAGAATTATCTGGAGGTTTGTATTCTGTGATAACAGATTAATGGCTTTGCCATAGGGGATTTAGAAGGTCAACTAGTAAGCAGGCAATGAAGCTGCATCTCTTTTTTGATGCTCTGCAAAAAGCAGAAAGTTGGTTATCAAGCTCTGATACTATTAAGTGCCTACATCTACCTGGCCTTAAAGCACACGCAGTCAGTGGGCACTGGCATGTGGCATGAATTTATCTATGAAGATGGTAAATAAGATTAATCTAGCAAAGCCTATGCTCTCATAAAAAATAATGGTATTAGATGAATATACAAAGGAGGAAGAATGGGTGTCTGTGCCTTTGCAGTATTGCTAGAGTCTTTTCAGATCTTCCATTTAGCAGGTGAGGCTGCTAAAATGAGGCTTATATACAGGATTCTGCTGTGGTTTTACCTGGTTAGAACTGCAGAATGGGCTGCACAGCAGCAGTGAGTCATCACTGGAATATGTATAAAAATTAGGAGTCTTTTGTCTAAGTTACCATTGTAGCCTAAGTCCTCAGTTACACCCCAGATAAACTGCAGACTAAGGACCACATTTGATATAGCTTCATGATCTGTCAGCCTTTGACTACAGTTTTCTGCTATGACAGATAATGGTTTGTTTTCCTATGATCCATTGACTGGCATTAAGATACTCCTGGGCTTAGTTAGACTCTATTAGATAATGCAGTGTATCTGTGTGATAGAAATCAGTGCTGTCTACAGAATCAGCTAATTAAGAAAGCTATCTCAGACACCAGAAGGAGCATATCCATGTCAACATGATAGTGTGTCAAGGCTAATTTACCCTGGATTTCAGCTAACACAATTAATGTACCTATCTCAGCTTGCTTTTTGAGATAAGCCTGAAATACCTCTGTATGTTCACTGCCCTATTGCAGTAACATAATGTGACATATTGCACTTGTTTAGCACACTTAATTCTTAATCAGTAACTGCATATCAAACATATGTAAATACTTACAAGCTTTGACCAGCACAGGGCTGCATTGTGACCATGCAATATAACTGGCAGTTGACACATTTTCAAGAATTTCAGCCATCAAGTATCTCGTTTGCAATGCAGGAAGTAACAAATGGAATTTTTCAGGTCACCTCTAAAATACTATAGGCCAGCAAAATGGAAAAAGTGTATAAACTAATAAGCCAGGAAATACCAGGGATCATGGGAGAGCTGACATTAGCAAAAGACATTCGCAAAGGACTTTCCCATCACTAAAGGGTAGTTTAGCCCTAACAAAACTCGTGAAATTGACAGCTTTCACAATGGAAACCTGTTTTTCATCCGCAGAAAGGGCAGCACCCTCCTGTGAGCACACTCATGGCCAACGCTAGTACTACTCACTGGGGTTTCTGCAAGAGTGAGAGGAGAAGTTGCTGCAGCTCAGATGCACCTCAGCTTTTCTCAGGACTGCTGGCAGAGGTGCCTGTTGTAATGCTGACATTTGCAGTATGGACACATGTTCACCAGGAAATGGACAGAGATGTATCAAACTCATTTCCTGTAGGAAGTCAAACAGCCATCGCATGCAAAGGACTGTGATTTATCTGGGAATGTGGGCAGCTGAGGGGGGTATAGTTT